TTGGGGGGGGGGGGGGGGGGAGAACAGACTGTTCTTTGAGCTTCGGGTATGTTCTGGCGTGGGATAGCAATTGGCGTGGGGAGGCTGCAAGGAGGAGGGTCAAAAAAGTCAAGATGGCTGCCATGGCGATGCAGTCGGAGCCCTGCCCCTGTTTTATGTGGGTTGTGTGAGCAGGGCTCCGATTGCATGGCCGTGGCTGCCATTTTGACTTTTTTGACCCCCTCCCTGCACACACTCTGGCAGTTAGAGGATGCGTGGACAAGTAACTAGTCCATGTTCATTCACCTCTACCCCCTTCTCTTTACACTTACACACACAATTGCTGAAAATTGTCTGCCTGCTTTTCCAGGCTGCTTTAAGTCAGGAAAAGCACAGAACCCCAGGTCCAAATGCACCCAGAGCTTCCCAAACGTGGCTTAATTATCTCTCAGCCCATCCCGCCTCGCAGGGTTGTTGTGACGATCAACAGGGGAACCGCTTCATATTCTGCTTTAAATTTCTTCAAGGAAGAACAGGGTCCAAACGAAGCCTTTGCCATAATGGCTACGTTATCACAAACGTAGAAAGCTGCCTTCCCACATGCCTAAACAGCAGCCAGGTGCAAAAGGTGAGTTGTTATTGATTTATCTGACGTATCACACACAGTGCATATTTCAAAGCCAAAATATATTCCAGGAGCCTGTGAAACTCATTGCCACAAGATGTTATATTAGCCACTACTTTGGGGTTTCTTTAAGAGAAGGATGAACCAGCTTTAACACCGAGTTCATACAACACACTAAACTGCAAATCCGAGTAAATGAAAGAGCTCTGCTGTCTTCGTATCATATACTATCCCAAATGAAATAAACCCTGGCTTAATATGACTGCTTGTTTGATCTGACGTCTTAAGGTGATGGTTGGTTTCAGTAACATACGGGACCACAAATAATCCAATCCCATTTGAGTGTAGTCCACCCAGCTGGTATTGTCTATGCTTGGAAGTGAAGCAGGCTCAAGTCTGGTTAGGATTTGGATGAGGCACCACCAGGAAAGCTCAGGGTTGAGAGCTAGACTGGGAAATCTGAACTATTCCAGAAGAAAGCAATGGCAATGTACCTCTGTATAATGCCAAGAAAACTACATGGACATGTCCATGTTGTCAATGTGAGTCAACTCAACTCGAAGAGACTTGCTTAAGTGACAGTATCTCACCAACCTTGGCTGATCTTCAAAAGCTAAGTAGGGTCAAACCTGGTTAGGGCTTGGAAAGGATTTCCCAGGAAATCTGCCCCCTTTGTGTCAAAAGAGATACCACTCTTACAAATAGTTGGGGAGGGAGGGCCAACATGGAACTGCAAAAGCATCCAGATTTTTATTTTATCTATTGTGATTATTTTACACCGCTTATAACTCGCTCCTATCTCGAAGGAAAACCTGAAGGACCAAGTTGGGGATCGATCATCCTGGAGAAAATCTATTTGTGTGATTGATGGCAGATAATCAATCAGTCCCAAAGCAGTCTGGGTAGCATACAATAAAATAAAATAATTTTTAAAAAACACATAACCCCTCCTGCTTCCTTAATAAACAGCTACTCATATGAAGAGGAAAGTGTTAAGACAGTTGATTGGTGGAAGGTTAATAACTTGTTTAGATGGCAAGATTTAATTATCAATAAGAGAAAGATAAATCTTTCTTTGAGACTCTTAATTCACAGTGATCTACTTTACCTGACTGGTTTCAGTATCTTCAAATAAGTAACATGGTACTAGAAAAATTGCAGAAAGAAGGGGGAATTGACTGAATTAGAAAGTCTTATAATACACAGTTCAGAACTTTTGTTGGGTCTGATAACTGTTGGTGAAATATGACTCAGAATTTGTACAAGTCAATGATTGCAAGATTAAATGGATGCAGAAGTGGAATGTAGTAATAGCAATGCAACAATGGGAATTTCAATGAAAGAAAAATGTTATATTTACTTTGTCACACTTAGAATTGCTACAAGATGTTTTATCGTTGGTATATCACTCCAATCTTAATTACTAAAATAGATAATTCATTCTCTAAGGATTGCTGGAAATGTAACGAGCAGATTAGTCCATTTTTCACATCTGATGGCAATATTGTAAAGCTCAACAATTCTGGAAAATGATTCATACTAGAAGGAAAGGAATGTTAAAAGCTGAATTCCAAATTGTGGGAGCATTTTAAGTCATACCTTAAAAGTGAACCGGACATAGAATTTAATTCAAAGTGGAATTTGGACCAAACTGGACCATAATTTAATACATGGATTTGTATCCCGTCTAGAGTTTGTACCTCAGTCTCACGTAATATTTAAAGCAGAACAGATTCTCGGTGTTGATTCAATCTATTGCAGTTTATAATTATATATGGTGATTTATACTGTATTGACCCTGGTTCTTGATATTAATCCTTGCTTAAATCTCAGTCGTGATTTTTAGTCATTTAAAGCGATATATTCACTCGTAATTATTCATTCATTAGTAAATTCATCCATTTACTAATGATATGCCAGAAAACAATCACCTCCTTGGCATTTTTTAGATCTGTTGTTTATTCATATATACTTTCTTTTTTTATTTCCTTTATCTCTTTTCTATTTGTTTATACAGGTAGTCCTCAGTTAATGACCACTCATTCAGCAACCGTTCAAAGTTACAACAGCGCTGAACGAGTGGTGGTTACGATGGGTCCTCAAAGTTCCAGCCGTCCCAGAACCCCTGCAGTCACGTGACCGCAATCTGGGCACTTGGCAACTGACTCACACTTACGACGGTTGCAGTGTCCTGCGGTCACATGATTGCCATTTGTGACCTTCCTTGCCGGCTTCCCACAAGCAAAGTCAATGGGGAAGCTGGCAGGGAAGGTTGCAAGTCACTCTGATAAGTCTCTCCCACCTGTGCACCCTCCCCCAGCCTCACTACATTCATGCTGTGCCTCCCCAGACACTCACTTACCCTTCCCCCCGCAGCAGCTGCCCCAAGCCTCACTGTGCTCATGCTGCACCTCCACGGCCATCCGCACATCCCCTCACATCCTCTCCCACCCAGCAGCAGCCACTTACCCACCCACTGGCCTGCTTATGAGCTGTCTGGGATTTGTGACTTCCTGCCGGCTTTGCCACTGACTTTGGTTGTTGGAAACTGGCAGGAAGTTGCGAGGAGGTCCTCACTTAACAACCCACGATCCTCGCTTAACGACGGCAACCGGATTGCTGTCACTAAGCAACAAGGTCATGTGACATCGCACTTTACAACCGCATTGCTTAGCGACAGAAATTCCAGTCCCAGTTGCCGTCGTAACTTGAGGACTACCTGCACACTTTCTCTAAGAAGTTAAATTACAAAACAAATGCAGAAGATGCACACTCTCCCTCAAAGCCACTATAGGCCAAAGGTTTGCTGAAACAATACAGCCTTGGGTTAAGGAATATTAACAAGGTAGGCACCTGGCTAGAAACCAGGAGGCTGTGAGTTCAAGTCCTGCCTTAGGCACAAAACCAGCTGGGCGACTTTGGGCCAGTCCCTCCCTTGCATCCCTCAGAAGGCGCCATGGCAAACTTCTGAAAAAGATGGGCTAGATCAGGGGATTTCTCCCCCCTGTTTTTTTTTCTCCATAGCCCCTAGCTGGATCTGATCCATTTTCAACCCTAGTCTCTCTTTTGCTAGCTTCTTCCTACACACTAAATTGGGTCCCGTTGTGTTCAATTTGGGGGCAGCTGTCGTGCTGACTTTTAGACTTCTCACCCCGCTTTGTGTAATTTCCTTCCCATATTCTGTTGGGTTGGAAAGGATTAAAAGAAAGTCATGGATAGCAGACAGGAATTCTCCAGAGGAAAAATTACTCATGATTTCTCCTCCACACACACACGCACACACACACACACACACCAAGCCTGCAGAATTCTCACGCCCAAGTCGGCCCACCTGCCATACAGCTTCCCAGCTGTTCAACCCACTCTTGGGGGATTTATTGCGCCCAACTGGGACTGCTGAATAGGGTGTCAATGAACCAGGATGGTGGGCCAAAATTAGGATTTCAAGTGCTGGGGAAAGGTGATAAAATTAACAGCTGTAAAGCCAGCTTCCAAATACTCTCTCTTCCTATTCCTCTAAAACGTTCTAGTTGATGCGGGGCATAAAATTAGCTGTGGAATTCATTGCAGCAATAGCCAAGATGGTTAAGCCTACACCCAAGTTAGCAACACACAATGGTTGTGTCCATATAACACACTGATGTTCAAATAAGCAAACCACTTAAGGTTTAATGTGATGGTCTGATTCATACAACATGCTAAGACCAGCTGCATTCCCACAACTTCTTCTGGCCACAAATTATCTAACTCCATTATTTACTTATACATTTATTATATTTTTATGACATCTTCTCTCTAAGGAACTCAGGATGCCATAGATCAGTGTTTTTCAAGCGTGGCAACTTTAAGATGGGTGGACTTCAACTTCCAGAATTCCCCAGCCAGCATGCTGGCTGG